CAACAAAAATTACACCCATTAGTTCCATTGTAAACAAAAATTTTCAACAAAAAGGTATGTACAAACGTTTGAGGGGGCAGGACCCCACGTCATGCGCCCTTCCCTCCACACCTGCCATTATGTATCTAAGCATAAACAAAAAAAGGACGAATCAGCACATAAGGCTCTCACTAAAACAGAGTGAATAAGTACCTATCATTTTGTTTCCACCACAATATATGCTCATAGATACCATTTCAGAAAAATACAAAACTGAGAGGAAGGTTAAAGTTGAATGATCAGCACAGATTCACAGTTGCCATGAAAAGATTATGACACTGGTCTCATTTATTAGCTCCAAAATTTCTTTTTTTTTTAATCAGCTTCACAGTCATTCTTTTGTTGAGCAAAACACTTAAAATTCCAATTCAAGAAGAAGTTGTTCAGCCACAACAGTGATGCTGTACCAGATGATGATATATAGTCCATGTCTTGGCAATCATGATTGAAAGTCACAAATAGGTTACAATTCAGATGGTTAAATGTGTTGGTATTTTATTCATAAAATGTGTTGGTATTTTATTCACAACGTCTACTTACATGTGTTGGTATTTTATTCATAAAACTAAATATATAGATATGCTTATATAACATATATATTTATAAGCTTTCTGGCCCCGAAAGGCATTTTTCGGATAAGTTTATGGCATTTATCATGCCAACTCCCAACGTAAGGGTGCTAATTACGTCTCGTCTGTCCCCCCCAGGTCCTATTTGATATGAGGAAGCTACCCTTGCCATCTATAGAGTGCTTCGGGGGTTGATTTTAATTTAAGGCCCCAAAAGCCCATTTTCGGCTAGGTATACGGCGTTTTTCACACCAACTCCTAACGTATGCGTGCTGTTTTCGTCCCATCTGTCCCCACAGGTCTTATTTCACACAAGGAAGCTACTCATGCCATCCGTAGACTGCTTCGGCGGCTGTTTTGAATTTTTGGCCCTCAAAGGCCTTTTTCGGCTAAGTTTATGGCGTTTTTCATGCCAACTCCCAACGTACACGTACTAATTATGTCCCGTATGTCCCCACAGGTCCTATTTGAAATGAGGAACTACCCGTGCCATCCCTACAGTGGTTCAGGGGTTGCTTTCAAGTTTCGGCCCTCGAAGGCCTTTTTCGACTAAGTGTACCGCGTTTTTCGCACCAACTCCCAACGTATGCGTGCTGTTTTCGTCCTGTCTATCCCCACAGGTCTTATTTCACACAAGGAAGCTACCCGTGCCATCTGTAGACCGCTTCGGGGGCTGATTTGAATTTTTAGCCCTCGAAGGCCTTTTTCGGCTAAGTTTATGGCGTTTTTCACGCCAACTCCCAACGTACACGTGCTAATTACATCCTGTATGTCCTCACAGGTCCTATTTGACATGAGAAAGCTACCCGTGCCATCCCTACTGTGGTTCGGGTGCTGCTTTCAAGTTTCGGCCCTCGAAGGCCTTTTTCGGCCAAGCTTACGGCGTTTTTCACACCAACTCCCAACGTATACGTGCTAATTACGTCCCGTCTATCCCCACAGGTCCTATTTGACACAATGAAGCTACTCGTGCCATCCGTAGAATGCTTCAGGGGCTGATTTGTATTTTTGGCCCGTCAAAGGACTTTTTCGACTAAGTTTATGGCGTTTTTCACGCCAACTCCCAATGTACACGTGCTAATTACGTCCCATATGTCCCCGCAGATCCTATTTGACATGAGGAAGCTACCCGTGCCATCTCTACTGTGGTTCGGGGGTTGCTTTCAAGTTTTGGCCCTCGAAGGCCTTTTTCGGCTAAGTTTACAGCGTTTTTCACACCAACTCCCAACGTATACGTGCTAATTACATCCCGTCTATCCCCACAAGTCCTATTTGACACAATGAAGCTACCTGTGCCATCCGTAGAATGCTTCAGGGGCTGATTTGTATTTTTGGCCCGTCAAAGGACATTTTCGGCTAAGTTTATGGCCTTTTTCACGCCAACTCCCAACGTACAGGTGCTAATTACGTCCCATATGTCCCCACAGGTCCTATTTGACATGAGGAAGCTACTCGTGCCATCCCTACCATGGTTCGGGGGTTGCTTTCAAGTTTCGGCCCTCGAAGGCCTTTTTCGGCTAAGTTTACGGCGTTTTTCACACCAACTTCCAATGTATATGTGCTAATTATGTCCCGTCTGTCCCCACAGGTCCTATTTGACACGATGAAGCTACCCATGCCATTTGTAGAATACTTCGGGCCTGATTTGAATTTTTGGCCCGCCAAAGGCCTTTTTCGACTAAGTTTATGGCTTTTTCACGCCAACTCCCATCGTACACGTGCTAATTACATCCCGTATGTCCCCACAGGTCCTATTTGACATGAGAAAGCTACCTGTGCTATCCCTACCATGGTTCGGGGGCTGCTTTCAAGTTTCGGCCCTCGAAGGCCTTTTTCGGCTAAGTTTACGACGTTTTTCACACCAACTCCCAACGTAAACGTACTAATTACGTCTCGTTTGTCCCCATAGGTCCTATTTGACACAATGAAGCTACCTGTTCCATCCGTAGAATGCTTCGGGGGCTGATTTGAATTTTTTGCTCGTCAAAGGCCTTTTTCGGCTAAGTTTATGGCGTTTTTCACGCCAACTCCCAACGTACACATGCTAATTGCGTCCCGTATGTCCCCACAAGTCCTATTTGACATGAGGAAGCTACACGTGCCATCCCTACCGTGGTTCGGTTTTGGCCCTCGAAGGCCTTTTTTTGCTAAGTTTACGGCATTTTTCACACCAACTCCTAACGTATACGTGCTAATTACGTCTCGTCTATCTCGACAGGTCCTATTTGACACAATGAAGCTACCCGTGCCATCCGTAGAATGCTTCGAGGGCTGATTTCAATTTTCCGCCCTCAAATGCCTTTTTTGGCTAAGTTTACAGTGTTTTTCACGCCAACTCCCAACGTATAAGTGCTAATTACGTCCCGTATGTCCCCACAGGTCCTATTTGACGCAAGGAAGCTACCCATGCCATCTCTACAATGGTTTGGGGGCTGCTTTCAATTTTTGGCTCTCGAAGGCCTTTTCCGACTTAGTTTACGGCGTTTTGGTAAGACAACAAATAACCCAGGAGATCTAATATTAACTGAACTAATATATTTTTCCAATATGACAATAATGAAGCTCATAATTTGTCCAATTCTCTAATGCACAATGAGGCTTTCATTAATTTATTTCACGTATTACCATCCCTTTTAGGCAATGAAAATTACAATTTTATAGTGTAATTAGTGAGACGTGTAGCTCAGCAAAATACTATTTGTAATTGTAAATTCATTTCAAGTTCACTTGGTTTATTCAATTACTCTTAAATCTGAAATGGCATTCAATTAGATGGGCCTCCTAATATAGTAACTACCCTCATAGTCATAGGCTCATCGTACCCTTAATATGGGAAACTTAATATTTCATTGAAATCATGTGGTTACCTTATGGAAATCAGATTACGGTCCGTCTGCTGCAAAGTCTACTCACATTATGCCTTAAAACCTATTCGAAGCACATAACAAAAAAAAATTTGCGTAGCAACTTTAGAAAACAATCCTATGCCAATATGATCCATGTATTTCTAAAACTTGCATTAGCTTATCAATAAAATTATGTTTACTGAATAGTAGGATGACCATCTGAACCCTCCAAAAGGGTTGTGAGCTGTGACACCACGTCGTTCAGATGATTGAGTTGTATTTGTTGTGCCTCCCGTGCTTTTTTTTCTTCTTCGACTTGTTTCATCAGCTCCTCTTTTTCCCTCATAATTTCCTCCCGATCTCTTTGGCGCTCTTCTTTCTCCTTGAGCAACTCCTCGTGATCCCTTTGCCGCTCCTCTTTCTCCTTCAATAGCTCCTCATGATCTCTTTGCCACTCCTCTTTCTCCTTCAATAGCTCCTCATGATCTCTTTGCCGCTCCTCTTTCTCCTTCAGTAACTCCTCGTGATCTCTTTGACGCTCCTCACGAAGAACCTCCAGTTCCGCTCTCATTGACTCCATATGTTTATCACGTGCTCGTGCCGCACTAGAAGTTGTGGAAGAGGGTTGTGGGCCTATCCCACATCCACGCAAGTAATTTTTTTTTGCCCTGAGCACTTGCCTTGATAGTTCTTCGTGGGTTAATGGCAACCCCGCATCGGTGGCTACGACTTATAGATTCACCATATCATCCTGTCATGGCAAGAAAACAATAAAGTCAAGATAGCAGAAGGAATTGAAAACAACTTTACTAATTGATATGCAACAAAATTGGTTTCAACATTCAATACTCACATGTAGATCACCACATTTGGGGTCAATCCAGTCTCTCGTCTTCTTTTACTTGTGTGATTTCTTATAAATTCAGGTAAATCTATATCTCCATCCTCATTTGCCTATTAGGTTTGAAAAAATTCCATTGATGAAGTAGTACATAGTAATATTCAAAATTAAGAAGAATCAATCATCCATTACATCACTAAACAAATAACTACTTCTCACCATAAGCGACATTACTATAGGAAATGATCGCGATCCACTTGTATGATTATAGGGGAGCATACCCCTATTTGCTTTACCAGCTTTAGAGCGTTTCTAACAAGAAAAAAAAAAAAAACACAAAATTACAAAAAAAAAAGAAGAAAAGAATTAGTAAAGGTTTTTTACATATCAACACATAAATTAATTTCAAGAATGGGGGTTCTAATTAATTTGCTACCAAGTGAGATTCATCTTTCCAAGCAACATCAATCAGATATTTCCAGTCCTCCAAGCTCACTCCACTAGACGGATGACTATAGGGGTCATCAACACCCTTTTCCTCAAGTTCGAGGAACTCTTGCTTTAGATTGTACCTCCAATCTTTGTATAGCAAATATGCCTTTCTATCGAGGATTTCTTGAGTTTGTTCATCATTATCAAAATCATCGCCGATAACAAACTTGTCCTACAAACATAAGATTGGAATTAGTACATCAATTAATTTAAGCAATTACAATTAATTTATGGCAAGATGAATCTCCTATTAGCACCGCTTGAACGACCGCATCTTTGGTACTTTGATCGATTTTTCTCCATGACTTCACGCTCTGAAGAGGGCACAACCGTCTAATTTGCAATCCCAACTCATTCGTCGCTGGGGTGCCGTTCCCTCCTGTGATTGCATTCAACGCTCGATTGACATACACATGTAATTTCTCTTCCTTTTTCCGAGGTATTTTTTTTTGTACTCCTTTGCCTAATGTAGGTCCTCGTACACGAGTTGACCTTTTTTGCCCTGGTACAAAAGGGGAAGCAAGACGCAAATTACAAACAAATTTAATGAAAGATGTGAGAGTATTGGTTGCTGCTTCATTAAAAAAAAAACTTTAGTCAAATTCATTCAAAAGCTTCAAATTTTCAACAAAAAAAAAAATTTAAAAAAAAAAAAAAAAAAAAAAAAACAAAAAACGAAAAATCACATCAGAGGTGTTACCAATGAAGAATGACAAGTCTCTAACCATTACATTAGTAAACAGCCAATACCCCAAGTTTTTTGGAATTTCCCCTCCATGGAAATGAAGCAATGAACAAACAATATACTTCATATAGAAGCCTGTTTTTTGAAGCCTTTGTAAACAAAAAAGACTTCACCCACTTAAACCTACTCTACTAAACCTAACCCACTACACCACTACCACCTCCACTTCACCTACTCCTTACCTACTACACACTCACCCTCTTCTATATATAGGAATCATGAATCATTGTAATGTACATCAATAAGCATCAATCAATAATACATAAATTCTTACATGAAGCAATGAACAAACAATATACTTCATATAGAAGCCTGTTTTTTGATGCCTTTGTAAACAAAAAAGCATTGTAATAGCAAAGACAATAAGTGACTATCAAACTATTACTATTAATTATAAGTGTACAGCCCTTGGTGTCTTTTAAGATTAGAACTCAACTAAAATCTAATTTTGTAACCATTATATGTGTTGCCTTTGTTTTACCAATCAGTATCTCCAACAAAATGTATTGAAAGGTTGGGCACTATAGGCAGAATGGATCTTATACGGTCAGCTCTGGACACTATTTAGCTGATGTTAATATTTTCTTTGTCTTGCTTTCTCTTTATGGGGTTTTCATTGCCTTAAAGACCTGACTTATGCACCCAAAAAAAAAAGAAGAAAATTAGGCCTTTTCTAAACAACTAAGTTCAATGCTCTTACCCACGCCACCTAGCTGCGTCTCCTCCACCATTGTTTGCGTATCATCTGGTGGCTGCGTCTTATCAGAGAACGTGGACATGCTTCAGAGGCTGAAAATACGTTGCCACTTGTTGCTCTCTTCCGCCGCCCCATCTTGATTGCAGGAACCATGGTACCTACAAAAAATAAAAATAAAAATAACAAACATACATGAGTAATAAACCTCACATACATCATTTACATACATTTATATAAATGACCTCACATACGTCATTTACATACATTTACATAAGCCTCACATACATAAACGTCCAAACATCGTTGAATGTTTAAATGTCATTATTTTTTTCAAAAACAATCACAGTTGGACTCTCGTATTTGTAGTTTCCAATAACATAAGATTGGTAGTATGTAGAGAATTATTTAGGGAAATGATCAGTAGACATTTTCCTTTTTGATTTCTTGTTCTTTTTCATTAATAGGGACTAAAAGAAATGGGGAAACCCAAGTACATGTGATTAAGAAGACCCTATAGAAATGTATCTATGTTATCCAACTTTTTTTTCTAAAAATCTGAACGTCAGATTTATAAGTATATAAAAAAAGACTATAAAATTATAAACCATTGCTTTAACATCCTCAAAACACATCTATATATCTCTTCCTCCAAATACACCAAAATAAACAAAGAGGAACAATTCCCCACACCTTTTCCTTTTTAAATTTCTACCATTATTACAAACAAAGAGGAACAATTCCCCACACCTTTTCCTTTTTAAATTTCTACCATTATTACAAAAGAGACTCGTACTTTTTATGATGTAGAATACCTACAATATTAGCCTTTTTCGGACATGCTGCAAGAGCATAATAACTTGGTATAAATAGTTAACTGTAGAAATTACCAGTCCTAGATATGAAATATAGAGGAAGTTCTCCAAGTGTAGTTCCAATACCGCACAAAATAGCATCCAACTGAACCTGTGGCTATATGTGACTAAGTTGAATACGTGAATTAGGAGATGCATACAATGGTGGTCCACATTCCGAGCTGTCCCTATCCAGCAAACCAGATCCTGCCAAAAAAAAGGGGTTATGAGAAGGGAGTGAAAAATACTTTGATTTAGCAAACAAAACTACAATCATTAATATATGCCCAGAAACATTACAGGTATAAAAATAGGAAGTTGTTTAATCTCCTTCGTAAAAGATTGATCTGATTAATGGTAGATGGAAGTTGTTTAGGACCTTGAGGGAACAATTATCACCTATGTTTTTTTTTCTCTCTTGGTTCATGTCCTGGACAGATTGATCTCTATGGCAGCAGTTGTTGGCAACATTAACGGTTTATAAATGGGCAAATATTGGTTTAAAAGTTACTTGTCTTTGCATTGCTAATGACATAGTTCTGTTCAGAGAGAAAATTGGTTTACTAATCTAAAGTTTATATGAATTTAAAAGGTTATCACTGAAATCATCAAGGCTAGTAAGTGCGCAACAAATGTTCTTGAATATAGGAGAATAACTTCCAAGATGCAGCCAGGTCAGTAAGCTCCACATCTTATGGTATGTACAAATATTAAATTTCACAACAAAAAACATAAAGAAACACAACCTACAATCTCAATGCATCTACAAAAAGGCACATAGGATGACATTATACCTACATATATCTGATTCAGAAGGGAAGAACTTGCTTTAGTATCTCAATTTCAATTGACAGATGAATTTGATTCACACTCCATGTTCTAAGAATATTTAGCATCCAAAAAAAAGGAAAAAAACAGTCTTTCTCTAAAGAAATGCGTGCTTTAGTCATTCATCTAGTTTAATGATGGTTTTGAAAATTAAAGAAGTATCAGATGAAGCAATCTTTGCGCCAATCCCCAGTTAGTGATTCAACAACCAAGATCCTCAAGTTGCACATATAATTTGAATGGAAATTTCTTGCATTTCAAAAGGAAAACACCATATCATCATACTTTGGCTGCTGCCAAGTCAACCGGGAGCTGCATCTCCACAATAAAGTCATGGAACATGCTCAATAAGTTGCAAAAGAGCAGGACTCTAGCAGAAAATATGAAATTCACTGGTTTTTTGTTCAACATTTGCTTAACCAGCTTTTAGCCAATGCTTTGAAAATCCTAGGTATTCGGGTAATTTTTGGACATTAAGAAATGAATTTGGAACCAGAGGTACTTTCCTGTAACCCTGGACAAATAATGTTCCAACAGTCATTAACTAGAGTAAGGATTTCGTGAATTAAGGCCTTTCCTTTTCCCTACTGCTAAAATTATCAACAATCAAAAAGGTCAAGCAACATAAAAAAATATGTACAGCACCATGACTACCAAAAAAATAAATGGTCAAGCATGAATACCAATAGATTAACAAACACCACATGACTAACAACCATCAGCTAGCACCTAAGCATAGCAGTCAAGCATCAAGCAGCCAAAGTGGAAAAAACCATCCTCTGTTGTTTCAATGGAGTTGCAAAGGTTTGCACTAGAAAGATGTGAGAGTATTTAGGCTATTGATTAATCACACTTTCTAATCCTAATTTTTTATGTTTTGGCCACAGATTTCTCAACTGAGGTTGACTTTTAAAGAAAATATTTTCAATTATACAAAGCAACCACAATGTAAACCTCAAGTTTTTCGTAGTGTGTTTGTTGATTGGTCATCAGCACGCCATCATTGGGTATGTGTTCATTGTTGGGTCATCAACAACGTCTTTCCATAATTTTAGTTCATGACATTATATTGTTAACCCATGCTAAGGGGAGAAGAAAAGGTTTTGTTAACTGATAATCCCAAAGCAAAATACCCAAAGCAAAATTCTGGTTGTTCAACTATAATTTGTTAAAGATGCATATCCTAACGTCCACATGTATTGGGTGTACAATTATAACATATTTAAGAGCTCTTAGGGAGGAAAAAAAAAGTATTAAAAAAGTCAATATTATAATTTTTTAAAACACATGATAGACTTAGAATATGAATAGCAAGAAAACATAAAATAGAGTATAGAAAAATATTGACACATGCCCAATTAAGAAGACAATATAATGAGAAAGACAGCCAAACAAAATTTGTTTACCACATCATAGTGGAAATTCCCCAAAACCAAACAAAATTGAATGTAAAATACAGGCTTAATTCACCACTACCAATATATTGTTACCCCACTAGAATGGATCTTTAAAAATTGGTTGAGGATTGTCATATTATATAACCAAATTACAAAAGCAAACACCCATTTCATTTAAATTTAAATCTAGCAAAAGATGGAAAATAATACTAGAAAAGAGCAATCAATATAATAAGAAAAAAAGTGAAAACAAGATAACATACAATATGATCAATTAACACTTTTCTCCATGAGCATGGCATATGCTACATCCATCATAGTTCCACTTGGGAAGCTCTTCGGGATCTTTAAAAGGTACAAAAAGAATAAAAAGTCTGCGTAAGACGAACACCAACATATATTACAAATCATTGTGGCTAATCAAGAAGATAAACAATAACCACAAGAATAAAATGGAAACTAAATATTTAAATAAGGAAAAACTATTACCCTCTCTATTTCTGAGATCGATGCTAGATTCACCAATCCTTTTCAACAATTCAAAAAAAAAACTTGGGTGAATAAGACATAAAACAATTCAAAATTAACTATGTAATTTGAAAAATTCTATAAAAACTAAAGACAACCACCACTAACACTTAAAAGGGGGATAGAAAATCACCAAGATGGTATATTGACAAGATTATCATTAATAGAGTTCCAAATTCAAAGAATGAGGGGAAAAAATTCCCAAATAAAATCAGTGAAAATTTGTTTCAAATGACGACAAATATTCTGAAAACTATAACACATGAAGATTAGGAATGTAGCTATTATTGATTGCTGCTTGATACATACCCAATTAGAAGTTGTTTCTCAAACCCAAAAATGATGGCGTGTAGGTTTGGTAGAGTGTGAGAACTGATGAGAGAGGAAAATACAACTAAGAAAGAGAAAACTCACATCACTCATATGAAAACAAAAAAAGCCCTACATGGAAAAACCCTAAACCCGCAACAAAAGCAGGAACATTAACACTCAACAAGGTCAATATTGATTTAGAACCATTATCAGATATGTAGCTAGCATGGTTCTGGAGAATAAGTTCTCAAGTCACCTTCCAAAGTTTTATAAACTATAAGAATCTTCCATATTTTAAAGAATTATAGAGAAGTTTCATTGAAACATAGTTGTTAACCTCCCATTATTTTGAAAGCCTCAAACCATTTTTCACTCCCATACATCTAATACCAATCCAAAATCGAGAATCAGAAATCCCCAATCCGAAATTTCAACCAAACCCATTCACGAAATCAGAAAAATCCCTAACAAATTGTTTACGAAATCAACAGAAAATGAAAGAAAAAAAAACGTATACAAACCCTACAGAAATCGTTAGACACGAGCATGGGAGAGACGGCGAGAAAGAGATATAGACAGACCCAGATCGACAGAGAGGGAGAGAGACGAGAGACAAATACCTGTAATTAGTGGTGGGGCCGATTTGCAGTGGTCGTGGTGGCGACCGCTGGTGGCCAACGATGGTGATGATTGGCGGTGGTGAGCGATCAATGGTGAGGTGAGGTATGGACTGCTCTGTATGTTGGTGTGTGAGTGAAAACAAAACAAAAATGTGTGTGTGTAATATATACTGGGCGCGAATATTAATTAGTTTCCTTCTAAAAAAATTTCGAAGCTTTAGTGACAAAATGGTTATTGGTCGCCGAAAGAATCCTATTTCGCTACTAATTTCAAATTTTTGTCGGCAATGGTTAATATACAATGACTAATTGAGCTTTGGTCGCCAAAAATTCATCAAAATATGCCCATTTTTGGCGACAAAAATTTTTTTGTCGCAAAATGTTATTATATGGCGACTAAATGAAATTTTGGCCGCGTAAAATGGTTGCAAACAGTGACTAAAATTAAGTTTAGTCGCCAATAATACTATATAGCGACTAAAATAATTTAGTAGCTAAAAAGATTAAACTAATGCTGACTAAATCAGGTTTTTAGTCGCCCAATATGATGTTTTTGGCGACTAAAATTGTTTTGGTCGCCAATTTTAGTCGCCAAATGTGTAGTTTGTTGTAGTGTAAGGTCTCAAAATAATTTATGTGATAAAATGACCCCAATTTTGGAAGAAGTGATATAGAAACTTAACTTCGATTATAAATATTGTTAAAATGAAACTTTGAAATAAGATGAAAGATGACACAAAAATCTTAAGTCTGAAATTCAATGGTATACTGATTCTAAAAAGTTGTCAATTGCCATTTAAATTAATGAATCAAATGATATGTATGCATATTAAAAAATAGAAAAAAAAATTAGAATCAGCTTTGTCTCAGGCCCAGGGTCTTGGGCTAGGCCTAGTTGGGTCAGGCCACACAAGGACACAGGCAAGCTTTGGGTGGACTGCGAGCTAATGGGCCAATTTTACTGTCACGACCCTAGCCCGCCCCTAGAGGTTCAAGCCATGACTGGCCAATAATCCCAGAATACCTTCGGCTTCAAAGTCAAATCAATCATAATATAACAATGGGGCTTAGCAGAAATAAAAGCATAAAATAATAACGAGCCATTGAGCAGTTCATACATGTTGAAATCATAAGTAGTAAAAACCAACTATAATTTCATAAAGCTAATGTACAATAGTCCAAAGTTAGACTCCTCACCCTACATCATTCATACAAGATGAAAAATTATCTACAGAAACAAGAACAAAACAAGACAAAAGTTGGGTTGACAATGCTTGACTCCTCTCGAGTCCAAGCTCGCTCCTTTATGGAGGCACTTTCCAAAAGGCTTTAATAGGGTAGACGTCGAGGCGACTTTAAATGTGATGCTTCGCTTGCTTACCTACATATATATAAGGGAGAGAGGTGAAGTGGAGCCTAGTTGTAGACGTCCCCGAACGCCCCGAGAGGGTTGAGCTCCCGTTCTGTTCATTTGGGGTCACTACAGCTCAGGACTCTCAAATTGTCATGGTTCTAAGTCTGAACCAAAGAGTCCAAATCCGGCAAATCGTTTTGAGAAAACTGATTTTTGAAAGAAGTGCCAAATATGGACTGCTTTGCTAGATACAGAGTCGCCACCTAAATATTTTATTTTGGGGAAATTTAGGAAACCCTGACTCGGTGCCAAAGGCCACGTGTCCGTCATCACCAAAGTTGCCTCGGCTCGGGAACTTGGGTACGATTGGGGAAGGTCACTTCGTGAGCACCCCCGCTCGCCCGATCAAAGATCGGCCTCTACTAACCGTGATATCAAGTTTTGAAAACATTGTGTGTCCTTATTCCGGTTTTTAGCCTAGATTACTATGTGATGCGCACAGCATACAAGTATAGACTGGGTTGCCTGAATTGGAACAAAACATTTCATGTTTGTTTTTGAAAGATGGTTTGCTACTCGCAAGTAGGCTTAAAATGCAGATTTTGCCACCCTCAGGTGGGCTTAAGAAAAGATGGTTTTGCCACTATCTAGTGGGCTTAAAACTCGCAGTCAATGATTTGTTCCAATCCAAACAACCCAACCTTCACCCACAGGCATTCAGGCAGATATATCACATAAGCAATTAGCCTCATGGTAAGCATGCTATTCATGGCAGCACTCACACGCATGCAAGGATGCTAAAGCATAAAACTCACCGATTACTCCAAGCCAAAACAGAAACTACATTAGAAATCATGCATGATCCTAAGTATACAGAAATGCCTAATGCAACACATGCAAAAATGCAAACTATAGCAGGCTCGGCTATTCTAAACATGGCATATGGAATGCTACAACTAACATGTATTCAATTTGGAATTGAAAGTACAATGCAGTTAGTATGATGCGCCGAGCCCGGTGCATGCAAGACAGATGAATGAATGCAAACATGCTATCATACTGTATGCTAATTGAAACATGCCCTAATCTAACCATCATATGCAGGTAAAATAAAGGGGAAGAAAGACGTGGGGTTGGAAGACATACATCACACTCACGCACACTTATTACAACATTGCCCTTGCGCAGAGGGTCCGAATAAATATACAGTCCCGAATAAAAGAATATTACAGTCCAAATAATACAGTCCAAATAATGTACAAATTCCTAATTAATTAACAAATTAACTAAGAAAATAGATAAACTGGCATGCAAGCCAGGGACTGCCTTGATTCCATTCCGGATGATGATGATGCATGCCCGGGTTGCCTTTGCGCGGAAAATCCATGACGATGCCCCCAATTAGCCTCTGTTTGCACCTATTCTTGAAATGCGTGCCAAGCCTCGGAAGACCGTTGATTCTTGATTTGCTGCAACAGAGAGACAGAGAAGGGGGCATAACAATGTATTTTCACAAATGTATGCATGTCTCGATCCTCGTGCCACCAATCACGCATATCGATGCATGATTGGCCGAGGAGTCGAATTGTGAAATTCAATATAGAATGAATGCACATATAAACACAACAAGAACCTAACTCCATCATGGATGATCCGGAGTGTCGGTGACTAGGGAATTGAGACGCGCTTCGTCACTCGGAGTACGGAACGTACCTCGTTTCCCGTGCCCAGGCTAACTCCTATCCCGAACACGATGCAATATGCATGACATGCATGAAATGCAACTAAGATACAATCCTAACATACACAATGTTATGGAATGACATACACAATGCAATAAGGTAATATACAACCGAGCATACACAATGCTATGGATGAAATGGCATACACAATGCAATAATGGGCTTACACCAACATGAGAGAGACTCAGCCACACTCACATAGGAGGCCATCAGATGAAAACAAGACAACTCGAAATGCGTGCACACGTGCACGCAAACCGAGTACCGACCCTCAGGCACCGAAATGCCACTCTAATGAGACATGGCAAAGATATGGAATATGGCACACTATAATGCAAAAATCAGAGGTAAAATGAGATGCAAAACAGCCCCGAAACCTGGCAAAATGAAACCCGATGCATGGAACGAGCACCGAAACATGGATTTTGGCGCATGAAATGGCCTATAGCTATGCAATGCATGCATAATTTGAACATGAGATGAAAAGACAGAAGCAAGGAAGCCCCTAGATAAGCATTTTTACAGTTCAAAGCATGGCCAAACAGCAAACACAAATAGGGCAAAAATAGCATGCAAAAATGGCCCTAAATGTGAGATAATGAAACAACTCGCAGATGCTGACCCCAAACGGATTAGGGCCCTTCAACAAAGTTGAAGAGAGGCCCAAAATATGATCTTTTACAGTTTATGGAAAACCACAAAAACCAGCACAGGTATGGCTAAACTCTCATGCAAGAAATGGGCCAAAAGATGGCCAAAGAAGCAAGTGGTGGTTTCTGGACTTAAACACAAAGGGGCCCTTCAACAATGTTGAAGAGGGGCCAAAAATAATGCATTTTACAGTTGATAGCCGGACCCAAAACAGTATGCAAATATGTTCAAAATGCTATGCAAAATGAAGCCAAAAAGAGAGATATAACACAAAGTATATAAAAGATGCCTCAAACCATGAAAGACCCTTAATGAAACATGAAGAATGGGCCAAAATAATACTTTTTTCAGTTCTTAAA